ACCTTTAATAGTTAGGGCCACATTGTTTCATTTTTCATCACTCTGAAACCCATGGACTGGATGTTCAGAAGTGCCACAGATCCAGTTTACATGTAGTGCACAAGTCATATCAAACAGTCCTGTTATGTTGCCTTCCAATCATAAGTGTTAGGCTAATTCCTCCTGCTCTCTAGCACCGTACAGAGGCCGAGGCTCTTGAGCAGATGGTTTGCAGACAGTGGTGGAGCAGGTCTCAGACACAGCCTGGCGCAAGTCCCACCAGCCAACCAAATCCAGCACGGATGCTCACTGATCCGGGCAGATCTGAGTTCAGTTTGGCATTCTGCTCCAGACTGCAGGTGCTTTGGCCTACATTAAACAACAGGCTTCCTCCCCGTCATGTTCATTGGTTGTAAATTCAGACTAAAACCTTGCATGGCCTATAGATGTGACACAGGAAGAAGAATGAGGCGGGAAGCAAGTCAAGTTGGTTGAATCCTGAATATTGTATGGCAGGATATATTTATTCTGGAGGGCAGGGGATCGGACTAAGCCTTATAGTTATTCAGTTTGGTGGCAGGTTAGTCTACACATAAAAAAATCAAGCAGGAAAATCAGAAGAACTGTCAGAGGAACATAATTCAAAGATCTTAGTTTAGTCTAGAGAAAACATCCTCTTAATAATATATACTGTATATCTCCCACTTATATCTCCCACTACTAACAACACTTGTTAGTATCTTAATTCTGATAACCATAAAATAAATACTTCTAATTTACTAAGTTATCGGTAAATAATAATGAATATATATATATATATATATATATATATATATATATATATATATATATATATATATATATATATATATATATATATATATATATATGTGTGTGTGTGTGTGTGTGTATATATATATATGTGTGTATATATATATGTGTATGTGTATATATATATATATATATATATATTTACATCAAATTCTATCGTTTGCAGAGTAGTACAAGTTCAGATCTTTGTCTCAATACTTAGGTTCTATCGTCATCATAGAACTGAAAAAAAAATATATTGTTTGTTGAAATGTTAGCATTTTTTTCCTGCCTGCAATCAACAATTCTTTATTATTCCTCCTTGTACAAACAGTGGAGCAGATCTGGGTTTACTCAAGGTTTTAAACAGAGGACAGGGAAAGAAACTAAGCCTTATAGTTAAACAATCTGGTGGTCAGTTACAGTGCAAATACAAAAGTCCTGAGATGTTTTTGACATCTCTGTGGTGTTGGAGATAGCTGGATCTGAGCATACTCCTGTGACTGATGGGATGGATGTTGGCCTGAGCTGAGCCCAGCACCAGAGGAGGTTTCTAGGGTTACACAAAAGAGATCAATACTCCCATAAAGGCCTGCAGCTACTCAAATACAGGTACACTGTCCAGATATAATCACTATATGTTCTTTCACTTATGTTTTCTCTTTCCATGAGATCAGCAGAAGCATTTTGAGTGTAAATTGAACCGCAATATTCAGTAAAAAGCAGGGCCTGTTACATTTCTGTTATCAGGTCCAAAATTGTGCAGCTATAAATTTTTTACTGTTCCATAACTTCACTTGATACTTCTTGTGTTAGTTTGGGTTTAGTTTGGAGTACGCATACACTGTGACTGGCCTTCTTATCCAGAAAACAGGCAAAATGACTCCGTCTGAGAATCTCAAAGCCGATTTGTGAAACTGTCGGACATTAGCTCAAGCTGCTAGTGTGTTTGTGTTGGACTTTACCCCCGCTTAAATTGGAATCAGGGATTACAATCAGAGTGGGAAAATCAAGAGCTTTAACAAGTTGTTTACACACACACAAATCAGCAGCCGTTATTAGTAATAAAGCAACAGAAACAAAATATAACCTTTTATAACTGCGTTGTGAATTGGTAAGTAAAAGTAAAGTAAATAAAAATAACAATAACTACTATGAAATATGAATAACATTTTCAAACTATAAATACAAACATTTCACAAGCTAAAGGGTGACAAAGCAACCAATTAAAAATACTGTTATTAATATTAGTATATTATTGTTGTAATGTGAACATAAACTCACAAATTGTTGCAAATCAAGATTTCAAAGTATTATTACATATCAGTTTATAGATCAGGGAACTGAATGACAAAATGGCAAAGGCAATCTCTGTAGTGAGTTTATAAATAAGGATCAATGCTGAAGTAGAGCTGTATTATTTCCTTCCTCATCTTTAGGTAAGCTCCCATAACAAAAGGAGGGTCTGCCAATGCAGTGAGAGATACAGCGACTCTTAATAGAGTCTCTAGTGTTCATAGCACTCCAGGGATTCAGTTCATAAAATAGCTCTCTTCTTCCAAGGCACAATGCAACTACTTGGCACAAGAGACCGAAAAAGCAGCATTCTGGTATCTTTAAATTAAAAGTCAGATAATCCTTCTTTCTGTTAAAATTTTGTGCCTAAACAATATGATTTCAGGGTAATTTTAAGGCAAATGATGTGGAATTTATTCTTGCAGAGAAATTGAATAAACTGAATAAATTGCATTTAATTGAATAAAAACAAAAAGAGAAATCTAAACTAGTAGTAAACTCCTATTGAGAAATAATTAAATAAATACATACAATGAGAACAAATTTAGTATTGTTAATATATAACAGAAGAGAATTCAATTTTTATTGCACTACACTGAAATGGATATTTGCACAGGATGAGAGCTTGCTCCCAGCACTGGTTCATAGCGGTCTTGACGTGATCTCGGCTTTTCTTCCACGGATCGTGTACGTTTTATTGAGGGATTAAATGAGTGGCAGACACAGGGGAACAGCGTCCTTGTGCGTCTCAGATAAGCTTCGAGAAAAGGATCTGTTGATGACGTGAAATATAGAAATGCAAGCCACTGTGATCAGATAAGCATGTACCATAAATAGTGTGTACCTACATGCTGCTTCCTCTTATTTCCTGTCTACATTTAATCCACAGCATCTTTATGGTCTGCAGTTAAATAATCCGCATATCAAACAAACGGTGTCTAGTGTTCACTGAGAAAGACTGGGAAAAATGGATGTTTCAGACTGTCTTAAGTTCCCTCAGGGGATCATTACATGTAATTCTGGACTATTTATGCCTCAAGATTCAAAGTATAACAGTGAGTAAAAATCTATTTCATCCTATATAAATACATGTATGTATCTTAGCAAATATGAATCTCCTATTTCTTTTATACCCAGTGATTCTGACTTAATGGCATTTTTATTTAACAATGTTGTTTTCCAAGTCTTGTGTTACGATTTAATCTAAGCCTAACCAGGGTTTTATCTTTGTTACATATTATACCTTTTAATAGGCTCTAACCCTCTTTATGATCTCTGCTCTCATTGGCTCTTTCTCCATTAAGTGATTATTTTTTACTATGTTGTTTGTTTAGGAAAGTAGATCTGCACAGCAGTTCTTTGAAGCTTCCAATTTGTATTTTCATTACATGTGGTGTAATTGTAAATAAAAATTTGGAGCTTCAAACAGCTGTTGTGCGGATGTACTTTCTTTCTCCTTTAGCTCTGCGCCACAAGTTACAAAGCAAAAGGAATAACTCCTTAGTGTTCTGGCTGCTATCCCAATTAACTTAAGCTCTAGCGTACACTTCAACAATATATTTATTTGAACTGAGGAGTGTTGCATTTCACAGGCTTTGGCCAAGCACAGAATTTTGCAAGCGGTTCAATGGTGGGGTATTAACAACACATGCCCAGTCTGAAATGTACCTTGTTTTAAATGGGCCACCACAGAAGTTCATGAGCCCAGAGAGTCCTAGATATACAGTTTTACAGGTCTGAGGCCACAGCACAAACCATTATAGCATAGGGAAATATTCTATAGTTTAAAGTAATTCAACCTCATCACTCGGGAACAGTAGTTTTAATATAGATTGACAAGGGGAGTCTACCTTTGGTTTCTAAGGCAATGGGGGAAATGTTCGTGTTATGTGGTCAATTTCTCCAAATCCCATCGGTGGGTTGATTCTTAAGATAATTGCTGACAGTTACCGTGCGCAACAAGCCAAAATTTAATTAAAGAAAGTCATAAAAGTCAAAGTCATAAATAGGACACGTGGGGGTTGGAGTGAGGGAGTTTCAAGGAACTTAATGTGCCATACAATCACAGTTTCCAGCCCAGGCAGCACTAAGTGCCTCAGTAGCACTGTAATATGAGAAACTATCGGAGTTTATTTCAAGTTTATTTACTCTTTCACCACTTCTCTCAGCAATCCTCCGACTCAACACTTCAGGCCAAAAATGGAAAGAAAGTCAGGGAGTTAGATTCCTCTTTCTGCTAAACGATGTTGTATTTTTTGACAGGCTGAATGATATGTGCCACTGCAATTACTTCCTTATTAGGTAAATTAAATATTTACACACTGTCTATCCTATTCCAAAGTTTATGAGAGATGTGAAAATGCATTAACAGAGACAATATTTATTTTAAAAGCAGTGCAAAAAGGGCCAAAGCCCGCTCTTCAAATGCTGTGTTTGTACTAACTGGAGAGAATGGTTTATGTAAAAAATTGTTAGCGATATCATAAACAATGAAAGAGGCTGTGTATTTAACTTCTCATGTAGTGGCCTGACTATAAAAAATCTCTCAATGTGACAGAAGAAAACAAAAATGTCCATTGAGGAAACCTGAAGAATTCCACTAAGAACAGGAAGTGAGATGAGGAAAAATAGAGCTCAGAAAAGAAACTGGCTAGAACAAGGCCATGGTGGAAAAATACAGATATTTCATGCTCTGAAACGCCGCGGTGCACCTCAAAAACACAGACATGAAGAAAAAAGGGCTGAGTGTAAGGTACATGAGTTACTTTAGACAGGTGGAAAGAGTTCCCCTGTGGGACGACCGGGCTGTTTTCTTTAATATGCACCGTGGCAATGTAAACTTGAGAGTGCGAGTGGAGGGAGTTGAGAATGACATCCCTCTCTGTCACATACTAAAGTGCTGTGGGAACTTGTACCTCTTCTGCAGTGCCGCATGGCCATTTTGCACATCCGGGACTCAGCGATGGTGGGACAGGGTATCGTGTCCTTGGGCGGTTTCTTTACAATGTGCCGTGTCCTCGTCTCCAGACCCCACTTGTATCCGCATGTTTTGTTTCTCCTGGTGCACGCTCCCCACTCGCTCCACTGGCCCACCTCACAGCCCTCTGCACAGAGACACAAGTAAAAGCCTTCAGAGGAAGAAAAACCAGGGTCAAGCTTTTATACAGAGTGAAGGAACTTTATTAGCATGCTGTAACCTCTTAGTGTGTGGCCTCTCCTTTTAATAGCAGCTCTAAATTCCCTTGCCTTTGCATTAAAAAACCTCAACGTTTGTATTGACAGTTCAACAGGAGGTAAAGCAGTCGTCTTCTAAGGTTAGTAGTTCAAATATCACATAAGACTATGCCAACATGCCATTCCTAATTTATGAACGAGCGATTTGGTGGGATAAAATGTAGTGGCAAAATATAGAAAAAAACTATAGGTATTAAATAAAATTTGGGATGGGGCAAAATGACAAAAGATTATTCACAATATTTTACTTTATATTGATTTATCATAATTTATGTTTTTACTTTATTTTGTACTTAATAATAAAAATGGCTGTTTAGAGTCTATAATAAAGATAAGCTAAAGATAATTATTAATTTAAACAAAACAATCATAAACAATGTTAAATCATTACCATTTAACACAAAATATATTGAAATTCTCCAAATCACATACTTTTACTGAAAGGATTGGCCTCTCAATTAGTGGTTAGAAATAAGTGAACTGAGAATCTATAATTCTACTGCACAGCTCTAAATGGAATAACACATCTAACTCTCTGCCTGCTGGTTAAAAAGTATAAAAGAACAATGCGTGACTTACCTCCACACTCCATGGTGTCCTCCAGCGGGGCAAAACCCTCAGGGCACTTTTCGTAGCAGCGGGCTTTGTGCAGGTAAAAACCAGCTTTACATTTGGTGCAAAAGTCTTTACTGAAGCAGGACTCGCAGTTCTCTATCCTGCACCCTGGAGGAACACAGACACATACATGAGACACTCGGGCCCTGTGCAGGCCTCTCATCTGGACTTGATCGAGAGCTGAGGGCTTTGTGGAATGGGCTTCTTGAAAGGATTATACCGTCTTTCCCACAGAGAGAGAAAAAACTGTCAATGCCTGGTTGTCTCTGGGACTGGAGTGTGTTTTACAGAGCTTGTTCCTACCTGACAGGCAGTTTTGTCCGTATTCCCTGTTTCACGTTCTCAAAGTGAAATAGATGAGAGAAGAATTAGATCATGTTGACCTCTTTCAGCAGTTTGCTCAGACTGTCTGGATGCAACACGTTACAGGGCATATGTTTTTAACTAATCGTTCGCCGCAACAGGAAGAGTACATCCCGCCAGGCGTGTGGATAGTGCCAACAAAATGCTGTCTTATCATTCCTCACTGCTCCATGTCTACTGCTTTCATGACGACAGAAATCACAACGTGGATTGGGGTTATTTTGGCTGACACTTCAAACAGATTGGATACATGGTTTCAGTAGTGAGGTGATGGGGAGTGGGTGACAATATTTAAGGTTATAAACAAACAGTTAGACCATCAGTAAACACAACAGCACATGGTCTGCATCCTCCCACGCCACACCCAGCTGCCGCACATGACACAAAGCGCCACTCGCAAAGAAAGGCAATGGCCATGTGTCATCAAGCTCCTACTCTGCAAATAGCACGTCAGCCAGGGCCAAATTACACCAACCACACCAATGAGGGCGACGCGCAAGCCCACATGATTAGAAGGAACCTCCCGGAGCTGTCTAATTTATGACACTCCTCTGCAGTTCCCAATAACGTTCCACAATGTGACCTGCAGCTACTGTCTCACATTCTAAGGTTACTGTAATTTCCTATGCTGATTCTTGTAACTTCCACGTCATTAACGTCCTATGTATTTCAAGGTGCGTAAAGTTTGTCAGGCACATTTGTAAGAGTGACAGAAACTTGGGGTTGATCTTTTATCTATGACCCTTGTTGAGCCTGGGGAAGGGAAGGTTCTCACAATCACACCCCTTATAATTACACCATCTCCAGCTAACCATCAGCAGGCCTCCTCCTCCTCAACATTCCTCCAAAACAAGGGGGTCCCTGCCCACTGAAGTATGGCCTCTGCCCACTCACTCGGGTCGCATGCTTTAGTAGTCTAAACAAACTGTGGACACACAGACAAACACATACCAGTCAGATGGGATTGAGCACTTGTCACTTATAAGCTCCAGTAAATAAATGTTAAGTTACAAAAATCATTCTGTTTTGATTACTTTCGAGGAATGCATGAATTAAAGCGTATAATGATTCTCTTGTAAATGCCTTTTGATAAATCTGAATCCTTCGATAGAGTAAGCAACCTAATAAATCACTAAACTAATTTGAAAGCATAACTCTGCGTTTTTAGCCTTCACACTTCCCAGGCCTGTCATCACCTGTGGGACTTTTAACTCCCATTCAAAAAGGAGAACAAAAAAAGGAAAGAGCCAAGCACATCTGGCAGTACTCACAGGCTTGTTGTGCAATGAGTTATTGACAGTATATATGAAAATAAAATACAGTACAAGCTAAATACAGTTGGCATGGGGCAGAAGTAGCATCTAACTGACATTGGGGTTGAATTTCATGTTAGGTGATGGCAGATGTTTCGGCAAATCCTGTTTTGCAAATAAGATAAGTAATAATATCATGGCAAGACAGATGAGGTGAATACCTTATCAATGTGGCTCTGTGGGAGTTTAACTGCAAGGAGGCAAAACGAAGAGGTCAAGGGTCATCTGTGAAAATGGGTGGCTAGGAAGGGATCACCATGACAGACATGTATCCATCTATTTAGTTATCAAGCAAGAGGCTATCTTGGACACCATAGGCTATCAGAGTCTTAGAGACTAGTGTACGTATACTTGGTCAGGTCGAGTAGGAAGACAGGCAGCGTGCCCAGCCAAACATGGGAAGAGGGTTCATTCTGCCGACTGGATTAACCTCTAGACCGCCTTTAAAGTCTTCATGTAGGTGCCTCTGGAGACTAATGAGAAATAATGAGGTCATCAGATCCCATTGAAAGCCTGTCATTCCCGGAACTTGGACGCATTATCATCATTATCTCTGTGCGAGCTCCAGCTGTGACGTTCATAAGAAACACAAGTTTAAAAAAAAGGTTGAGGTTTGAGCTTCTGGAGCAATATCAAACAAGATTGGTTTCAAAATGTATTAAGACATTCAAAGATGTCGGGCATATCACTGTTGCCACTTTGTTGGTGAAGTAAAGTTGAGAGATGAGTCACTGGGCATTGACTCTGACCTCGTGGTGCATTTTTGGCAGTGGAGATGCTCCCTCAGCTGTGGTCTGGATGCAAAAAGCTTCTGTTTTATAGTACGCACTTAAACCGCCGTGTCAGCTTGGGTTCAACCTCAGCTGACAGTGCCATATCTAATCACTCCATATGTTTACATTAATATTACAGCAGAAGAGGGCACAGCGTAACCAAGATGATAGGACGTCTTGTTCTATGGATATTCAATTATCCAAATAAATATTTGGTAATATCCAAAATACAAAAAGCATTTGTATTAATTTGCTGTAGTTGTTTTTGCTTAAGTTGTTTAGCTTTTTGTAAATACAAAAAAAAAAAAAAAAAAAGACAAATAATACTTATAAGTCAAGGTCAGATATGAATTACAAACCAACTCATGACTACTCACTATCACATTTCTAGGTTAGACATAGGTAGATGGACCACTGCGCTGAGCACCAGGAGAGAGTCTGATGTTGCACATGTCATAAAAAGGCCTGGCAGTGTGTGAGGGAAAACAAGGCTGCTTTTTTCCATTCTTAGGCTCCAGGCTGAGTGCAGAGCAGTTCTGACCCGCTCCTGAGGCCCCCGCTTTGGCTGACATGGAGAAGGCTGTGCTCACTGCCACCCAGCCATGTCATGTGGAACTGCAGATGGCAGGAGTTCATGGCATGGGCCACAGCTGCCATGTTCTTCCCTAGTGCTGTCCATACTGTTTTTCCACATGGATGCTCCTATTCCACACCAGCGCAGCCAAGGTGAAGGCCAGACTTGTTCCTGTCAATCAGTGGGCCGCCAGGTCCGATACGGTACGGCAGCAGTGTCAGCACACCCGCTCTAACTCTTCACTCCATGGAAATTCTCTGATCTTTGGTATTCCTACCTGGTCCAGAGTACACATAAACATCTCCTACTTAGAACCTGGATCACGAACAGACAGGCTTTCCACTTACACTTGGGTATGTTTTATACTATGGGAGTATAAAAATAAAGGTAACTGGCATCAGGATTATGATGGATTTTGATGAAATATGATCCATTTAGTTTCAATTTTAAAATATCATGTTTATTTAGCATTGGTTTTAGACAATAGCAATGTTGTATTTCTGCCTTAAATGGACAATAAAACCTACCCCTTATGTTTTGAACCACTGAACGGACAGCTTGGTTTGGTAGTGTATTGTGTGGCAAATTTGAATGTGTGGTTACTAAAGCTGCAATGATTAAAAGTCCCACTGTAGAGTATAAAGGCCAAAAGCAACTGGACATTTTTGTTGGTTAAAGTGTGCAATGGAAATACCCGCAAGAGTGCAAATGTGAGAGCTTGAATGAACCAGAAACGGAGAGGAGAGAAAGCAGCCAGCGCTGCCAACTATGGGCTGGTAGTTCCTTGCAGTGCCCCGTTTGCATGATGCCAACAACATGTGGCGTCTATCCAACTCAAACCCAAGCACAGTCCCATGTTGCTCTTTAAAATCTAAACGATCCTGGAGGAAGGTGAAGCTAATTTATTTTTTACTTCTAGGCCTAATTTGATGTGACAAAGTTGCTAGAAATACAACAATGGGATGTAGTAGCATATTTCCCTTAGTATGAGAAAAGCAGTAAAAAGTAAATTTGAGCTGGCAAGGCACAGAAATGACCTCCGACAGTGGACTCTCCAGAGGCACATAAAGCAGTAATATAGAACCTAAACTTCCAGGATATTGGCAATCTTGTGCCTTGATCGTACTGGTTGGCAAACAGTGAGTGGTTTCAATGTGTTATAAAGAATGTGGCTCAAAGGGGTAAAGGCAGCTGGGTATGTAGCTTAGCTGGTCATGTTGTTGGGACAGGGGGCCTCACTGGGGGGTCTGTGATGTACCCTGAGGGAAGAAGTTTGAGAACACTGCCCTGCTCTCATGGTGACCCTCTCAACATAGTATTGCATAAAGACAACTCAGACAGAGGTTTAAGCAAGAAGCTATTTCATTTGGGGCACTTGTGTAGTGATATGAAGGAATCTACAGTATTCTAACCTGAAAACAGTTAAATATATAATATTTCAGGGGTAGAGAGTCATCGTCCCATAGTCCTTGAGTAAAAGGTGAACTTCCAGTATGTATCAAACCAAAACAGGCTTTTTTAAAATGAACAAATTAGGTGGATTGTTCCTTGAAATAAAGGCTAAAGACTAAACTAAAACTACAGTTATATACAAGTGTTCTACAGCCCACCAAGACTTCTGCACAGTACTGGATGTTAAAAGCTATTATAAAATGTGACTTGAGTGAACATGCTTATGCTGCATTCACACACATTTGGCCCTACTTGAAGCACTGCTCTGTGTAACTGTTGCCACAAATCTTCCACAGACTAGACACCCACTGACAGCAGTGTGGGGCCTCTATGGGTGCCTGATAAGACCACTGTGTTGCATATAGAAGTTTATGGGTATAAATGCAACCATCAGCTGTCATAAAATAGTGAAATAAGTATATAATGTATAGACAGGAAACCATTATGCAACGATAGGGCAAAGTTCTACTCCCTTACAGTCAGTGAATAGCTCCTGGGAAAGACTGAGGGGTTGTGTGGAGGGCCTCTTTGGAATCCAGCTCGAGTCACGCTGTAAATGGGCTTCCAGTTATTCCAGTAGTTACGTTATGTTTCGGAAAAGTATAGTTCCCATTGTTTTTGGCCTAAATTAGAGTGTTATTTTCTCGGCAGCCCAGGGAAAACCCCCTCAGAGAACACTGCCTTAAATTTAAAATTCATTATGTGTGCCACATAGTAAAACCAACCAAGGAAACGGCCAGTTGCACAATGGATTAAGAACAAATTGAGCTTAAAGTTGTTGTCTATGATTTATTTATCTAATTCTCACTTTGCCCACTGAACTGTGGGCCAATAACTGGACAATTGCAGTTTCTTTTAAGACTGTAATTTCAGCCAGTGAGTATATTCATATATCCCAATAGTCTACATACCTTTTGAACCTTTAAACTGTATGGTTGTCCCACTGAGTATTTGGCCATTTCGGCATATTAGCTAAAATGCTTGTGTTATATATATTACCAATGCTTGACTCTGATCCAGAAGGAGGAAAAGCCTTCAATTGGAGTTTTGAGCAATGCATGTTCTTGTTTAGTTTTCTTTGCTTTTTTTTGGTGCTAGAGTTAGCAGGGAAGTATTTTAGGCTGATTCAACTTTAATATTTCTATTGAGGAAAAAAAAAAAAAAACATTTTACGTTAAGATGCACTACAAATACTTTTTCAAAAGTGACTGCTGAAAGCATAAGCCTTTTGCTTGTCTTGCTCTTGTTTTCCTTTACCAGGGGAGTCCTCAGAAATTCTTGAATGAGATAAGATCACACAGACAAACTCCAGTGTAATAACAAGCAGCTGCTCTCTAAGTGATTTCAGAGACCGTGTTTAAAAAACTCATGATAACAAAGATGTAATGCCACGGACTGAGCCAGCAGCACAAGGCAGCTACCACTACAACAACAAGTTGCTGTTGTCAACCTGCATGGACAGATCTGATAATTAAGGTCCAAGTGAAAAGCTTTTTGTAAGTCGGAAATGACATGCAGCACACAGCGACCAATAAGGGTCAAATAGGAAACTGGATTAGAAAAGTAAGATCACATCAAAGCTGGGCTCACTCTGAGATGTGATGCTTTGTGACAATACAAGATGTTGTTCTTTGAGCGGTTTGTACGGTAAGGGACTCAGATTAACCGGCCACACATCAGCACTGGTTACAGTCAAAAGTGGCCCAGTGCGGGAAACAGTGGTTAGCAAAGAAAAGTTTAAGATTTTGTCATAGAACAAGATGGCTTTCTCCTCCAATTTTCTTACAGTTGGAAAAATTGGGTGAAATTAATGTGGCTTTTCAGAATCGCCCTATGTTGTGGAGATATGTTTCTGTTGGGGGATACTCAACTTAATCCTGAATAAGTCACAATTCGGGTTGCAATGACTAAAGTTAATTAGAGTCATTCTTCTCTGTCCACTTGTTCCCATTAAAAGAGCAAGCTAGAGCCAATTCCACCAAGTATGGTTCTTAAAACAAGATGTTTGCAAAGCTGAAATGCTGATGAACCAACATTTACCACATGCATGAAGGGGGTAAATGCCAAGGGTGAATTTATGTTTAAAAACAAATTTATTTCCTTAACATACACAATAAAGACTTGTTGCAATTTAATAAAAAAAAGTCATATGTATTCCTCCTGAGCCCTGCTCCAAACCACATGCTTTCACTGGCACATATTGATGATTAGAAATGATGAGAATCTCAATCTAGTCTAATCTAGAATGCCTTCTCTTACACTGTGCATTCAAATCTGAAAAAATAAAATAAAATAAAATAAAAAGTATTGTATACATATAGCAACAAATCCATTGCATGTTTTGAAATCTACTTACAACACAAGAGCTTCCTTCTAACTGGACGTCAACAATAGTGATTTCAAATAACATGCTTTTCATTTGAATAATCCAAAGAGTCCGGAGGATGCATTTTCATGGTGATTGGGAAAGCACAAAGCATGTTTTTCCTCCTCGGGTTCTTCGTGTTCACAGTGTTGGGCCGTAAGGTTCGAAGGGGCTCCTCTGAGGTTTGATGTGAGTTTCTTTGTCAGAAGTTTGGCTCCGAGAACTACATGGGTTCAAGTTCCTTGCTGTTTTCATGTGAAGCATTGGGCCAACACCTCAGGCTCTGTGTAAATTTACCAATGTGTCTTTTTCATTCAGGATCTATGGTCAAAATATGCTTTAATGCATAAAATTAAGGGGTATTTTCATGTCCTCTTTTGTGCACTGTACACACAATTAATCAATATGTTAAATCAAAATCAACACTTGGGCCCCTAAGTAATGTAATAATTATCTTGGCAACATTGTTTTGTAAATTTCATGTACAGATGCAAGACTAAAATTTTTGCAACACATGTACCATGTTAAAACTGAACCTGCAAATCATTAAAATAATAGTATTTAATTAAATTTGATTATTTTTGAAAAAAACAACAATAAAACTTAAACCTAGAAAGGGCCTGGTTTTTCTCTCATTTTGAGAGTGCAATATTATTATTATTATATTTTTGAATAATGAATTTACTGATTAGACTGATTTCCCAATATTGATATTGTTTTTTGTTGGCATACATATAGCAAATTAACTTATTCAGACATCTATATTATATTCAGGAGTATTAGATGTGGGTGTTAACATATTTAGATCACCATGTTGCTGTTAATATTGTTTGTTTTTTTTTCGAAAATTCTAAATTCATCAAAAACATGTGTATTAACATGTTTTATAAGTTTCACTTTCATTTTTGACACTAAGTCAAAAGTCACTCCCCTTTCACAGCATTATCACAACATAATCAGGTGTGTGTTCACTAATAAAACTACTGCACATCACATCAGGTTTGTAAAGCTCAAGTGTATTGTTTTGTATCATTCTTTTATATATTTATGGAGAATTGTTTTGTGGGAGCATGGGTAACATAGACTTGTGAGTGGAGCATTGGAAAAATCTTATAGCTACATGTACGGAGAGTTAGAACAATAGAGTTAATAAAATACTCAAACATGCATGTATGGCATCTAAAACCTCTTCATGCATATTTTTGATGAGGGAACAATGTTGGAAGCTCCAAAAAGTTTACTCTACATAATACTTGCTCTTTAAAGAATATATTTAATTTGACTAACCCAACAATTGCTGTATCAGGTTAATGGTCCATCTCACAGTAAATGTATTAAGGAGATTCTAATCAACATGCTGCATGGGTCATACATGGTTGAATCTACATTTGTATTTAAAAGAAAAAAATAAATCTGCAAGGGAATTACAATGTCTAGCGAGAGTCTCAATCCTCAAGGCCAGTAGACACTTTACAAAGTGCACTCATGTTCTAATGCTAACATTGTACATATTCATATGATATAGTATGGCATGGATAAAGAGGGCTTGGGTTTACATGTCAGCCTTAATGTGAGGAGACAAATCTCTGGAGCTGGGTTGGCTTTAGTCTTTTTGTGCATCTTGGTTGAATTTCCTCCCGGATTTCATGCTTTCAGAAACACTCGTATAACGATGGGATGTTTAGTAACGCAGGTGTAAGGAGAAATAAGAACCAGGGCTCTCCCTAGCTGTTAAACAATCCCAGGAGACACAAGACTACAGCCTTAACTGCTTTACATCCACCTGTGAACAGACGAGCCGTTCAAATTGTGAAGTATGTGTGTCTGCTTTGGATAATTGACAATAAATCAAGTGTTGTGGGAAAGAGGCAGAGCTGATGGATCGTGAATGTGTGTCTGGGGATGATGAGGTGCAAAGAGGGAGGTGCTGAGAGGGTGAAAGCCATGGGTGTCAGCAGAATTTTGTAAAATATTCTTTTACAAAACAGATTTTACAGTATTTTAGCACAGTAAATTTTACTTGTATTGTGTGTATTATGAACAAACATCTGTTACTGGTAATCAACACAGCTGATGACTTGGATTAATTTGTTAAGAAATGTGTAATAAATTAAAAATTATCTGAGATACAAAAATCGTAAGGCATAAACATGTATGGTTTGAATTAAAATTGTTGTCTGAAGACAACATTTTTAAGTGCATATTAATAGCCTGTATTGTTCCTGTGAGGAAATTTGTGTCTGCATTTCATCAATCAAATGCCATATGGGCAGCATTAGGAGTAGATCTGGGCCAGGATCATAGTAGTTTTGCTGTGAAATTTAAATAATAACCATTTTGTATCCAGTGCATTATTATTTTAACTTCACAGACAACCACATGACATGTCTAAGGTGTAAATAGATGTATATGTGACTGTAACTTACTGGAGCACATGTTGACATCTGGGCTCCTCATGCCATAGTACCCGGCCGGACAATGTTGCAGACACTCTCCGTACTGCCTCATCCTCTCACGCCGCAGGAACAGGAAGAGTTTGGGCTGGCAGGTTACACAGCCGTTGTCTCTGGAGCACACCGAGCAGCCTTTACAGATTGGATACGCTCCATAGCTCGCTGTAAAATATTAGAAGAGAAGAGAGGACACAGGAAGAATGAGTACAATGTCGGCAAAACAAATTAACTTTTTAAATTATGTCATTGTAGTTTGAAAGGAACATAGCCTCAGGGGTTAACTATGTTTACTTTTATCATTACAACATGAACCATATGAGAATGCTAAGATATTTTCTGTGACATAGTTTCAGCTGAAATATCTTCTAACTACTCCATGTGTATTGTCATTGTTATTGAACTGGGGGCACAACTTTTATTACTTACTCCTACAGTCTCTAGTAAGCCAGTGTGTTTATTTTAACTAAACCTTGAAGTGCCATCGTTAATACTGATATTATATTGGTGAAAAAATGCATGTGCTTCGCTCACTCATAGAGGTAACTAGATGTGACAGCCCTAACTGTTGGGAGTCTCACACACACGATGAGAACAATGACCTATAATGGATACATCAGTGGGTCATAAATATGTCTAATTCAACAATTTGTCATTCAAGCAAACTCTGGTTATTCTCTCAACGTCCTACTATTGATTGGTTTTGAATGTGAATGTTGATTAAATCTGGCCAGATATGCCCTCTTGAATGATAATACATCTGACAAAAGCACCCAAACCACATTGGCAAAATCCCAGCCTTGTGTTGGTGAGCACAAATACAACAGTAAAATACTTTTTCTTCCAATAAGTGATTTTTCAGTGAATGCATCAGGTCCTGCTTGTAGGAAAATGTCCTTGGGCAAAGCCGATCTCTGAATAAAAGACACTTGACTTGATGTAAGCCAAGTCTAGAATATCATGCAGGGAACAGCGACCCACCACAATGCTTCATACACAGGCTGTATCTAAATGGACAAACCCGGGGAGACAGAGTCTGCATTACTGGCCATGGATTCGCATATTAGGTTTCTCTGAACAGATTCACGAAGACAAAAGTGAGCTCTAAGTGGGCCCGGTGCATGCATCAGTCTGAAATCCTGTGAAGATCAGTCAGTAAATGTCATTGGACACATCAATTTTGCATGTCTTTTGTGTGTGTGCGTGTGTGTGTGTGTGTGTGTGCGTGTGTATGCGTGTGTGTGTGTGTGAGAGAGAGAGAGAGAGAGAGAGAGAGAGACAAAGAGAGAGAGGAGACTTAACCACAATATTTTGTCCCTGCCAAACACACTATAATGTGCAGAGGTCTGTCCAGGTGAATGCTAAATTAAATGCTGATGACAATGTGTCACTCAAATTGAACAGGTTTACAATGACAAGACATTTATCACAGCTCAGAAGAGACACATTGCAGCAAACAAATTAAAACAATAATATAAAGATATTTCTATTGGTTACATCCAAGGAACTAAAACTAATTGTTCAGTTTTTTCTACTTAGGGGTTTTGGAATGGGGACTACATGGGGCATAATATTTATTTAATAATAGGTGTTAATCGTGCCTTGTTCAGTTGTAAAAAGTTACTGGTAACCTAAAGATTCACCTGTTGCCATGGAAGCTAAACAGCCCTGAAACAAGCAGGTAAAACTGTCCTTTCAGGTATAGCTACCAACTTTACCCACCCTAACAAATTTAAACATACTTACAAAACCATCTAATCTCACATTTCATTGTGTCAGTCCTCCCATAGCGTAAAACTACACCCCGACATAAGACCAAACCTCACCACTTAACCATATATATCTGTAGTATATACAGACTTGGTGTGTTTATGGCAAACTGACATTCACATTAACGTGGTCCCATTCACTCCCTGCTCTCTGGCCCGAATGGAACACAACACTGAGAGAAAGAGAAAGCCAAGTTGGCAAATATAAAAGAGCTATAAGCCTGGAAAGGTTATTCCTCCAGCCCATTCTGAACTGGAGTGACTCTATATGTGCCTTACTAATTAACAGTATGCTGACAATAATAACAATATTAAAAATGAATCAAGTTTGTGGGTTTTGTAGCTCACTGGTGTCTCAGTCAGCAAGGATATTACAATCACAGAAAAGCCCTTTTTTATGAGTCTGGTTTAAATGTCTCGGATAATCTTTGTTGTCCAACATTTGTTTTGCCAGTTGCTAATCTCGCCATGAACAGTGATTGAGGATAACATAATCACACGCTGTTTGAACGCGGCAGATCCCACATCCTGGAATCAGCGACTGGGAAAGTGGAGTGGAAGCAAGCGGCTGAGTATGGTGGAAGGGAGAAGGCAGTGCAGATCGGAGGAGATTAACTTATGTGTGTCTGTGGAAAGGTTTGGAAGTTCAGGCCACAGGTATGTCAGGAAAGAGGCCACAATTCACTGCAGCGCCGACCAGCTCACAAACCAAGACGACACAGGCAGCACGATGTCTTACGCGTTACATCAATCTGTCAGTGGCCAGCAGGTTTGAGCCACTCTTAAAGAAAACATTTGGTCATATGGACTGGAAAATTCAATCTCTAGAAATAAGTATTTGAAGGAGGCCAGATTTGTATCCACAATATTTTTATGTAGCTACTATTTAAAATAACTAAACATTCCTAAGCCTTAATAAAGCATGAAGAAAGACTTTATTGATTATGAACAAATATTTTATGCATACTTATTCAGACTCAGTAACTACATAATTAAGGAGTATATATTAAGGAGAATATTAGGAATTAAGCTATTAAAGGGCCCATATTACTATTACTATTTTGTGATCTCTGTTATACTGTTTCCTCATCACAAACATGCCTGGAGTTGTATTTTTTTTTCATTCACACATGTTTAACACCCAAACACTGCATATTTAGGGTTCTTCTCTTAAACCAAAAACACTCCACCTTATGATATCATGTGGTAATGCAGAAAGTTCTCCACTGTGTTTTTAAACTCCATACACCTTCACTTTTGATCATTTCAAACCTGGAATTGCCTGTCTCTACTGAACTAAAGGTAAAAAGAGCTGCTGACTTGAAAACTACCACTTCATGACATCACAATGTGGAACAGAGAATTTTGCACTTTGGAGACAGACTAATAATAAAGGATTACTCAATCATGTGTGACTGAAACAAAACACAACTCCAGGTATGTTTTTGAGGAGGTATTATTATTATTAATATTATAAAGTGTTATTATTAAGTGTTACCTGTTAAGTCTATGCATCACTGCAACATTCTTTAGTTTTATATGGACTTTTTCATATGTGGATTAGTATTACTCCAGTCATAGTACAGTTCTCTCACATCTGCCTATGTATCATTCCAGCGTAACCTAATTTTGTATGAAGTTTTCTCTCAACAACATCTGTATGTTTATAAGGTGGCATAGACCTTGTTACTTTGCATGGCATTCCCATAAATTAGGTTTTGACACATGCTTCTGAAACCACAAAACTGACATGTGATGCCTCATCTCCTCCACTGTTCAAACTGAAACTAAAGTGACACAGATGGGGATGAAAGCCACACATAAAGTGCTCATGGCGAAATTTCAGGAATATAAACTTAAGCATGCATATGTTTCAAAACACGAGATGGAATGCACATTGGAGGAGTCAGTTCACACGATGGACCAGTGGCGTTTACAGTTACAACCACAGAATACATAGAGCGTGGAACGACACAAATCCGCACTTCCCATTCTGACAGGCCGCAGCACTGACAAAAGCAAGGGTCCATCTGACTATCTCTGTAGTCTGCTCAGTGCATAGTCCCAAAGCGTAACAAACTCTGTCACTTGTACCCAAAACCATCACAGCTCTCTCAAAGGAACAGTCAAGAGATCTTATCATTATCCTCCTCTTCATTCATCAATACTACATGTGACACAAAAGAGTAAGAGTGGAGTGGTACAGCCAGCCTGCACTCCTTCTGGTCTCGACCCAGTCATCAACATCTGATGAACAAAACTGACCAGTGCGGGAAATAAATGGTCCATAACTAGTAAACTAAATATGGTGGTTTACACAAGTAGTAGAAGAAGAAATTAACAAACAAGGCAGGCATTTTTAAATCAAATATTGCTTTTAGTGATGGCAATTACAATGCTGATTTATTCTTAGATAGAAAAATCACTGGACATGATCAAGTTGTCATCTGAAATTAGAAATGAGTCTTGAAACTGAGAGAACTGAAACTGAAATCCAGTTGGTTTGAAAGACTGGTCTCTGTTCTAAATCATCACTAACTAAACCCCAGCACTTGCAGTCAATTACAAGTGCGAGTGCAGCCACTGCAGCTCAGTGAGGGAATTCTGGAGGTTCTGAGCTTGTGACATGGCTTGTCTATATACTGAGAATGAGAAAAACTTGTGTACCAGAGCACTGGAGACCAATGTTCTGTTGTGTTTGGAGTGCTTTCTTAAAACTCAGAGCCCATTAGAGACTATATACAGTTCCTATATGTTGTATAGTACCACACATTGGTACATTCTCTGCAAACAATGACACACATCACAATACTGCAGTTAACTGTTGGTTTAATAGGTATGGGCCCAATTAAGTCTAATTTTAGCTAGAGTGAACTCCAAATTTGTTCTCAGGTAATTGTTATGAGTCCAAAGTAAGCGTGACTGACTACACAGAGCATTGCCAAACCTTACTATAGAGGCGGTTCCTCCCACTGCCCACGGACTTCCTGCTTTCCCCTCACCTACAGCTCACCGTGAAATCATTGACGTCGACTCGCTCCAATGCACTGCAACCCAAAACCCTAACAAGGCAAATTGCAGATAATTTTTGTGTGTCTTTAAAAGCTGCAAACTTAACATTGAGAACAAGACACTTTTACATAGGGTTTTATTCAAGTTGGCTGCTGGTCACTCCTGAAAAGTGATACCACTTTACAAATTTTAGCTTCTTCAAAACTGACATTTTTATTTAAAGGTATTTAAGACTTGAGGAAAAATGGCCAGATGCTGTGCCTATATATAAAGATTAATGAGAACTTGAAGGAGACAAATTATGCAAAATCTATTTTAATAGCCTTTAACCATATTGTAATTGTTTCTATTTCTCATTAGTTGTATCAAGTTATATTTAGTGGA